TCTAAACGGTGCCAAAATATGCCACTTTGGCATAAGGATTACTTTGAGTTAAAGGTACTTGAAAAGGCATTCTAATCATTTTTCTTTCTGGAACAGCAGATAAAACTCCCATGTGAGAGATGCCCTCCCTGTACCAGGAGAAAAGAAACATTCTTCAATGGGGAGTCAAAGTCTAGAGAATTCTGTACAAACAGACCTTGTTGAAATAATTCTTATCTTCCATTAGCCTTTCTATATATATTATTTACTTTTACACAATTGTCTCTCCTTGTTCAAACTTGTATAAAAGCATTTAGGTCTTGTCAATTCTTTGGGTCTTTCTCTCTTTACGTCACATAAAGGTAGTATTTGTATGCTTTACTCCTATTAACCTTTTTTACATCAATTAAATTCTTGGGTCCGGTAAAAAACCCTGGGACGGCAAAGGCAGAGTTTTACCTCTGCTGTAATTCCAATAGCTTAGGGTCTTGGGGCTCCTAAACTAATACCTTTTTCCCACTGACCCTTATTTATGGTCATTTGTTTGCTTATGTGCTTGGTGCTCTTTATTATAGGGTTATTTAGTTGAACTTGATCAGTGATCTTTCAGAGTAGATACGTATTTCTTCCTTCCAGGAATCAGGGGAGCTACAAACTGGGACCAATTTATCCACCTTCTAGGGTTCTGGCCTTAATTAAAGAGCCTAAAGACGTCTATCTTGAAAATAGTTCATGGTCCAGTCACCTGACTCCAGCACTGACGGCATTGTCCCTGAGAGGAAGCCCGTTCTTTGGGTGTTAATAGGCACGCTCTCATTCCAGTTTCAATCTCTTTTTCTGAGTCTGTTGCTTTTGTTTTGTCTCCTTGGAGATGCTCCCAAATTCTGATTAATCCCGTTAATATAATAAAACTATGTGTTATGTAAGATCTAGTTTCATTTTGTGTTCCTAAAGGCTACACAAAGCAACTGCTGGGACTGGAAAGTCTGTAAACTTGACTTTTAGAGATTAGAAGGCCTGATATGTACTTCAAAGTAAAAATGGCGGTTACATTATTTGGGTTAATTTTAATATTGATGACTACAGTACTAAATCATCTTTAAAAATTAAACTAATGTTGGGGCGGCCTGGTGGCATAGTGGTTAAGTTCGCCTGCTCCACTTCGGTGGCCCAGGGTTTGCATGTTCAGATCCCTGGTGCAGATCTAGCGTCACTCATCAAGCCATGCTGTGGTGGCGTCCCACATAAAATAGAGGAAGACCAGCACAGATGTTAGCTCAGGGACAATCTTCCTCTCTCTCTCACACACACACAATTAAACTGATATTAGTGTCAAATAGTATTTAATTTTTTGTAACTGCTTAGAACTAAGCTAGGAATCTCACTCTGTAAAGCTACAGAGCTCATTAAAGAACAGGTTAAAAGCTCTTAAGAAAGATCACCTCAGCCAGCATTTCTTTTCCTCCCAAAAGGCTGGTCAGTGTGTCTTTGCCTGTGTGTTAGCCTTATGCTAATTCCACAGTCAAATATTTCCTGATCCAAAAGGTATTCCTTTAGCTCCAACTCTCTACAGCAGGGTCCAGTGTAATCTTCAGAACTCTCATAATGTTCCTAATCTCTGTGCGCTTACTCACACAGGTGTACTAATGATTAGAATATCAAACATAGGAATCACAGTCCACAAACTCAAGTATATAGGAAATAGCCATTTTAAATCTTTTATTTTTTTAAATAAGCAAATTTAAATGGATTCTAAGTCTCCATACATGGTAGGCAGGGAATTCTAATTCAGTCATTATTAGAGCCCCTTTTTCTTTCAAGGTATCAGTGAAATATGGCCTGGGAAAGGAAGCCAGATCCACTAACATCTGAACCACGGTAGTAACAGCTGGAAACATTACTGCCTAAGTGTGAAGAGGTTAACATCTAGAAACTCTGTTTTCATGGTTTGCTTAGAGTAAGAATGCTGTCCCAAGGCTGGGAATTCTGATGTTTATTGTTCGACATCCACAGCCTCTTATAATCTTTACCTTCAGTGTCTTCCCACCTATTGTTAGACAAGAGGAAATACCTCTGCCTTTCCTCCTGATCTTTCAAATTTTCCTTTTCGCCTCTACTTACATTCACAAGCATTTCTACTAATTCCTTCATCCCAAGGCTTTAGACACCAAATGGGAAGAAAGGAGGTGTCTTACGCAGTTTTTATTTTTGGCCCAGCAATGCAACTTCCCCTGAGGTTTTGGAATGCAAAAGATCTTGGCTACCTCAATGAAGCAGAGGGAGAGAGGGGTTGCAGAGAGAAAAGACAAAAGTGATTATCTTGCCACAATAATTACTGCTGATATTTATTTAATATTTCTTGAACGCATCGTACATGCCAGAAAGGAAGCTAAGAAACTTGCTTTACAGTCATTTTCTCATTTAATCCTCACAACAACCGTAATAGGTACTAACATTATCTCCATTTTACAAAAGGCTAACACGAGTTTAAATCGCAGCCCTGATCCCACTGATTTAAACCCCAATGATCAGACAATCGGACTGTAGGTGACAGTGACTTTGGTCATGGATTAGGCTCCTGAAATCTTGCTTCTTCCCTAGTTCCTCCTTTAGTAACTACCTAAACAACCAATCCAGGAATTCCAATTCACATTAGAGATCTATATTTCTTCTGACAGTTTTCTCTGAGGATCTGGAGCCCTCCTACGATTGAACCTCAGACTGATGAATGGAAATCTCACTATCTGTTTTTCGAAAGACCTCTAAGGCCAGCTTCTAATCACAGCCAGCCATTCCACAGAATCACCTAAAGTCGTGCTCTGTAAATCTGCTCAAAGAATTGCTGCTGTTGCCCTAAACCCATATGTGACATGCTGAGGTGGCAGCCTATCCCGCCCAGTTTGTCCCATCGGCATGGCTGTTTTGTGCCTGTCTCTCTCCCACTCCTTCCCTTTACCAGACACCTGGCATGACCCCCTGGACGTTAAGGATGACTAAATAACATGTAGACTATAGTAAACCAAGAGGTACTTTAACAGTAAAAGTCATTTTGGTCAGTGAGTAAATAGTTACACTATATAAGCATTTGGTCTCTGGTGCCATATGTATAAGCAGAAGTAACTTAAAAATCAATTCTACTCAGTAAAGCAAGGCTTACAGAGAGAGTCAGTATGAAAATTTCTTACTTAAAAATGTGTTAAACATATACAGTTAAGAGTTTCAGACACTGGGGCCGGCCTGGTGGCGCAGCAGTTAAGTGTGCACGCTCTGCTTCGTTGGCTCGGGGTTCGCTGGTTGGGATCCTGGGTTCGGACATGGCACCACTTGGCAAAAGCCATGCTATGTGGTAGGCGTCCCACACGTAAAGTAGAGGAAGATGGGCATGGAGGTTGGCTCACTGCCACTCTTCCTCAGCAAAAAGAGGAGGACTGGCAGTAGTTAGCTCAGGGCTAATTTTCCTCAAAAGAAAAAGAGTTTCACACATTATAAAACAATTTGCTCCTTGAAACTTCAAGTTTTCTTAGAATGAAAGGAGTGATGGGAAGATTTTAAGGATGATTTTAATCATCCTGGAGAACACACTCCCAGATCAAAGTGAACAACTTTGGAAATGCTCAAATAGTTAGACTGTGCAGGAATTAGAAAGCAAGAACATTTAAAAATTGGTAAGTAGCATACATTGTAAATTATACAAGAGGAAATTTTATACTATGAATAAATTATGATAAAATATGTATCTGCTCTATCATTGACCTATTGAACAATCTTACATTTTTATTACTTGGCCTGTATAAAAAGATAAGTATCAGTGTTAAATTTGAATATCGTATTTACAAATATTTCTCTTTCACATGCATAAACTGTTGTCAGATCCCAAAAGGCAATTGTATACTGCTTTTTCAAAGTCTGGAAACTCAGGCTAAAATTGGTGTTATTAGGCAGATGAGTGTGCCAAAAATATTCAGTCATATATTTTGTTAGATATACAAAGAACCTAGCACCTGCTTCACTTTTTCAATACTGTTCTATGCCATATCTTTAATTTATTAGGAACAAGTATGTCTTAATTACTGCAATGACATGAGACTACAGTACTTTTTCCGAGTCTGTTTCACAGAATAGAAACTAAAGATTTAAAAAATCTAATTAAATGACTCAAAAGGTTACTTACCTGTTACCCAGAAAAGCATAAGAAAATGCAAACAAGAAAAAAAAAGGGCATGATTCTTACAAATCCCTAACATTCTCAGCAGCGTGTATGTGCGTGGGGAGTAGTACGTGCGTATTTTTAATAAGGAATAACAGGTGCTTCCAAAATACATTATATTTGCCTATGGTAGCCTTTCCTCAATTGTAATGATGTGTTTACATGCCTGTCTACACCTGTGCCTTTAAGGCAGACTACAAAGTTTAGGGTATCATGAGAATTTAAGCTCCAAGATGTTCTGTACAGTCACTGGCGTTTGGAGACATTTTTATGTCTTAGTTGCAAGGGAGCAGGACAAATGGTACAACTTCATTTTCATCAATAGGGTCAAAATATCACATGACTACTGCCCTACCCTTTGGAAAGAAGATGAGGTAAGATATTGAATAGATAAATGATGCCTCAGTTGCCATCTTCAGCTCGCTTCCTATTAGTAGTGTTTGAAAAGATAATTGCTTCCTGAATGCATCCAAAATAAGGAATGATTACAAAATCCTATGAAATAAAATAATACATAGCTATTAAAGAGCCTATTTAAAACACATGAAAGTGCTCAGTCTATCAAAGTATGAATGCAATGTAAATTTACTGTTACAATAAAGTTATAGATATGTTTTAGATATATAAGCTTATATACACAGAATAAACAACAGAATAGAAATATACCAAAATACTAAGGATGGTTATCTCTAGGTAGTGATATTATGATAATTGTCTTTGCTGTATTTTCCACATTTTTAAACCAAAAAACTGCACTGTTAAAAAGGGAAAGTAAATGTTATTTTAACCATATTTTAAATTAAACTATTCTTACCTTTTATGTTTTTCTATATACTTCACAATGTCAATCTCCATTATTCTCACAATAGAAGATTCTTGGATTATTACACTTTGTCTCTTTAGATATTCTGTAACAGAGAAATTTAATGGTTATTTCATGATTACACAATAAAGCATTTATTAAATATAAAATATTAAAAACTAACACAAAGCACAGATCTAATCTTAAACGCAAAGCATAACTAACAAATAAAATCCTGATATAAAAAGGTTAATACAACCATATATTTAATCCTGATACATTTTACAATTTCTGAAATATAAGCATTTAGTCTTGTCAATTTAATGCTATAAAAATACGTATTTTCAGATTTTTGGTAACTGATTCTTTAAATCTGTAAAGTTAGTATTTTATTATTGTAAATCTAACTTAGACATTAGTTTCTTAAGAGAAGAAAGAATGTAAATAATTTGTACATGAAACACAAAGGTTAACATGTAGCTAAAACATTGTAATCCCAAATGAATTACTAAAAGAAAGAAAGATGTGGTAGAATTATTTAGTGCTGCACGAACGCTAGGCTTACATATTCTGTAATTTAATCATTTCCTACTATTTTTAAGAAGCTTAGCTTTATACATTTTACAAACTGACTTTGTCTAGACAAAGGAAACAATCAGCTATTTTTGTCAAAGTTCTCTTTATTAAAATGAAATAATTAGATATGTTAGTGGTCTTGGCTCTGAGACTCCATTACAATTTTATTAAAACTAAAATTAAAAAAATACACCGTTCTCTATTATTCTTGTTATTACTTAAAATTACCTTTCCATTTGGATAAGGAGTAAAATTTAGTCTGAAAGCCATATACTTTTTTTCTGGAGGACACATGCGTTACAGATGAGACTATCCTCACAGCCCTTCCCCGGCAGATTTCTCCAGTGATTTCATGATCATGGTATTGTCTTCTAAAATATAAAGTAATGCTTGAAAATCATTGAAATATTTATAGCATAAGAAATAGTTAATGATGTTTTCATGAAATGTAAAGATCAAAACTGTTTGCAATAAAGCATTTCAGTGTGCCTATAAATTTATATACGTACTTTTTATACTCACTGTATTATTTACTTCATATTATATAGTTCTACTAAGTATAACAGATACAAAACAACAATGGCTTAAAGAAGCATAAAAGTCCAGGCTGATGGGGTGCTCTGAGTGTCAGAGACCCAGGCTCCTTCCTTCTTGTTGTTCTGCCATCCCTGGGGTGGGTTCCTCCTCCTCAGAGTCCATAACGACTCATCACCAAATTTACAGTCTAGCCTTAAAAAAGAGGATGGGGCAGGTAGTAGACAGCACATTCCTTCCTCTTAAGGGTACATCCTATTAGTTGCACCCATTATCTTTTAATGTATCTCATTGGCCACAACTTAATTTCAGAGCTAAGGCTAGCTACCAAAGAGACTAGAAAATGTCGTCTCTATTCTTTGTGGTTATGTGACCAATTAAAAATAAGGAACTCTGTCACTATGAAAGAAGAGAAGAATATATACTGGGAGAAATCTGGTAGCTTCTGCTGTAGTCAGATTTGCACAAGCTCTAAAAGTCTAGTCCCTCAAAACCACCATGAGATATCACCTCACATCTATTAGAATGGCTATCATCAAAAAGACAAGAAATAACAAGTATTGGCAAGGATGTGGAGAAATGGGAACACCTGTCCACTATTGGAGGGAATGGAAATTGGTGCAGCCACTATGGAAAACAATATGGAGATTTCTCAAAAAACTAAAAATAGAACTACCATATGATCCAGCAATTCCACTTCTGGTATGTATCCGAAGAAAACAAAAACACTAACTTGAAAAGATATATGCACCCCTTTGTTCATTACAGCATTATTTACAGTAGCCAAGATATGGAAACAACCTAAGTTTCCATTAATGGATGAATAGATAAAGAAATTGTGGTATACATGTACAATGGACTATTATTCAGCCATAAAAAATAATTAAATCTTGCCATTTGTTACAACATGGATGGACCTCGAGGGCATTAGGCTAAGTGAAATAAGTCAGACAGAGAAAGACAAACACCATATGATCTCTTTTACACATGTAGTCTAAAAACAAAAACAGACTCAGATACACAGAACAGATTGGCGGTTTCAAGAGGTAGGGGTGGGAGGGGGGTGGGAGAAACAGGTGAAGCGCTTTTTTTTGTAGTTAAAAAAGAAAGCCTAGTCCCTGAAAAAGTGTAATTGTTAAAAGAAGACTGAAATAGAATCTTTTCTTGATTTATACACTATACTTGTACTAGACTTAAGCATTATTATTTTGACTTCTAGTCAATATAGAATATGCTTGTCATTGCATCAAAATCAAGTGTCAAATTTGGAATCTTTTCCAACCATGTAAGAGGGAGGCCCCAACTAAAGCAATGTGGCTAAATTTTGTTTGTTTGCTACAGCACAGACTCAAAAAAAGTTACAGAAACCCTGGGGAGTCTTGTTCACTGGCAAAGTATATCAGAAGGAATCAGTTACTAAAAACACTAGTATTTATATTATATTTAATAGAGTTAGTATTTAGATTTAGTTACATTTTACATCTTTGCTTACAACTTGTTCCTACGTTTCAGTCCTTCTTTCTGGAATTACTTTCCTTCCACCTAAAATACCTATTTTAGAATCTCCATTAAGAAAAGTGTCTTAAATACGAAATGTATTTTGCCTTTATTCTTGATAGTTTTGTGGATATAGAGTTTTAGGTTGACAGTTACTTTCTCTCAGCACTTTGAATATATTATTCCCTTGATTTCTATTGGCTTTCAAAGTTGCTGTTACAAACTTAGCCATCGAATGATTGTTTCTTTTAGGTAGTCTGAATCTTCTCTCTGGTATTAAATTCTTAAGACTGCAAATAACACTCTTATTTGACGCAGATTTTGAACAATTTTGTATGTAGTTATATTACAGTCACTCACTTCCATTGTGATCTACTTTATTAAGAATAACGTAACTAAATAACTAATATTTATTTAGCACTTACCATGTGCAGGACGTGTTAAAAACACCTCGCCTTATTTATCTCATTCAGTTCTCTCAATTTTTGGATGTAGTTACTCTGGTTACCTCCGTTTTCGGTATGAGGAATACGAGGCTCAGGAAGGTTAGATAACCTCCCCCAGAGCGCTCAGCTAGTAAGTGAGAGGGTAGGAGAGCAAAGACTGAAGTCACGGAAGTAACGCAAGCCTGGCTCAGGTGCAAACTATTTATCATCTGAATGTCAGACGGTGCAGCTCTTTGTAGCCCGCTAGGCGAAGCAGGAACTACATTTCCCAGAATGCTTTCCTGTGTGCTTCCAGGTTAGTGTCAGCAGAAGGATTGATTTGCGGGCGATTTGGAAGGCGGGAGGGACGTAGCGGTCATTACTCTCCGAAGGTCGTCCAGGTAGCTGCGGTGGGAATCCGCTGCAGAGGTGCCAGCCAGGGCATTCAAACTTGCCTTGCTGTCCTTTGCTCGATATCCTACTCCCCTTCCTGCCAGGCTGCCGGCTCTGGTGACAAACAGTGACCCCACCAGCCCCACCTCTCATGCCAACAGGTGCCGAGGCAACAGCTCTGCAGAGACTTCTCCCGCTTCGCCTTCTCTTTTCTGTTCTGCTCGCTCGGCGGGAGAGGACCGCCTTGCGGGATTTCCCTGACCGCTTCCACGCTTTCATCGCTGCTCAGGAGCAGGAGAACTGGCCTCCACCTCTTCTTTCCAGACCCTGCTTCTCCCGGCCTCCCACAACTGGCTATGTCTAACCACTCTAATAAATCCCTTCTTCCATAACAATCGCAATGATTCCGTATCCCTATTTGAACCCTGAATGAACTCAAGAGCAGTGTTTCCAAAACTTTCTTGTATGTACTTGTTAAAATGCAGATTCTAGGACCCCTGTCTTAGATAGTCTGGTTACTAGGCAGGGCGAGATTCTGACTTTCATGGGCCCTAGGCACCTTTAGCGTCAGTGTACCCCTTTATCTATAAAAAAAAAATTAAACTTATTTTACAACTGGTATATACAAAGAAAAATATAATTCAAGCTGGATTCTATTTATTTATTTTTTCTTCCAATTTTAAAAGAAGTTAGAACATTTTCTTGCATCCTGAAAGTATCGTGGACCCTAGGCACTGTGTCTACTGTGGCTAATGGAGAAGTTCGCCCTGTTGCTACGTTTGGAGAGGGGCCAGGTATATGCATCTTAGCAAGCCTCCCTTGTTGATTCTTCTCATTGGGCAAGTTTGAGAAGCACTGCTGGAGGATATGGGTTCCTCAGGACCTCAGAGAAGCTCTGTGATCACACTGTCAAAGGGTAAACAATGAAAAACAGCCTTCTGTAGAAGACAACACATTTGTGGGGAAAACACTTTTTAAGAAGTACAGTAACAACAAAACCTAGCCCCGAAAAATAGCAACAGATGTCCCACCTATGCCTATGCTTATAACACATGTGATTTTTCAACATTTGTTTCTTTCCCGTGCGCTGGGCTTACAACTGAATCACAATAGGGTTATTACTGTAGGAAATAGTTCTACACCAGTGAATCTGTCTTGTAAGCCCCTATGAGAATTAAGGCCCAAAAACAAAGGAAAGTTACAATAAATTAGGTCCATTCACAAGACAGCATCTTCCAGACTGCTGTGCTTATAAAGCTCCAACATAAAATTGACTTGCCTTTGTTTGTTTCCTGTCTCTGGATTAAATTTTAATCTTTTTTCCTGGAGGGAAATAAATTGTATAATATATCCCAGGACTTAGAACAGTGCTTTAATCAATGTAGATTCCTTAAGAAACACCAAAGATAAAAATAAGGAATACAAGTAAATATAATGTTTTATTTGGCCCTGAAAATAAACACAAAATGCTGAGCGAAGGCAAATATTTAGGATTCATGTTGTTGTTGTTGTTTTTAGTGTAACTATATTCTCTTAAGCAACTTATTTGTGTGTATGTCTTACTTCTATCATCAGATGGTTTCTTGATTATGTTTTCTTTGTATTTGATTCCTAATAGCACACATATATTACCATAAAAGCTGAGGTCCCTAAAAAAAATAACCTTTTGTACTTAAATGAAAAAAGAAAAAAGCTTGAGATAGATTTATAAAATATATTTCTAGTTATTTTCTGTGGGGATTGGGAAATGGGACATACCTATTTATGATGAGCCAACGTTAGTAGGCTTTGGTTGAAATAAACTTTTCAAAATATCTGAAGGTTTAACTCTGAAAAAATCTTTAAGCTCTACAGAAGGGCTAAGACACACAGCAGAGATTGATTGCTTTGTTTTGGATTCTTCTGCTGAGATTCCACTTCTTCTGTTTCTTCTCACTACGTGCTCCCAGGGCACGTTTCCAGGACTTGAAAGGAACAGAGCGTTAGTGTATTCTCTCTATGCTTATTCTCAGCTAGAATGCATGTTAAAAAAAAAAAAAAAATCCTATCTGTGCTTTTCCTAGGGAAAACAGGAACTACATAAGAAGCAGAAAAGCTTTAAAGAAGTGAGCCCAACAAATATACTACCAGTACCTGACATCAGTCTGACAGATGTCACTTTTCATCCAACCTTATAGGTAGAAAATATTGACATGCTGCACCATGGGGCAGGATAATGCTTTCAGAGATTTTTCCAGTTGCCCCAATTTTACATTTTTCATGGTGCAATTATATTACTTTGTTAATTTGCAGATTCTCAGAGAATATATTGCAAAGCATGCTATAAATTAGATTTTCTACATGGAATGTTCAGAATACATAAAAAGAAAGCAATAGAGGAAAAGAGAATGTATATCCAAGTACCATTTCATTGGTTATCCTGGTGTGATCATGCAGAGGAATTTGTGCGTGTAGGAGACTTCACTGCTGATGAGTTGCTAGATCACATCCGTTAAAAACAGTCGTGATGTATCAGTTTTCGAGGCCAGCTTTTCTCTTAGAATGTGGTTACCACCTCAAAAAGGTGATAGAAATACTAAAAATAGTATTATGTACTTTTGGTCACATTCTTCAATTTTTAGGATTGAGAAATCCTCATTTACTGTTTTGAATATCAAAATGTACTGCCTGTTGGTCTAGCATATTTAGAATTGAGAATATTTCTTAGAGAAACCTGATGTGATAGAGACAGAGGGCACTTGGATATTTTCCTGATTCCTGGGGGAAGTGACACTAAAGCTTTCTTAACATTTGCATTAGGCTTACTTTGATCCCGCACCTCTTCCTCACCACTACTTCTCAAGGTGTTCCCAAAATGGAAGATTCGAATGAAGTGAAATCAATAAGTAAAGTAAAAAGTGTGACACAAGTTGATAATTGTATGTTAAGTGCAATTTAAACGTTTATTTGATAAGCGCTATGAATTACAAGAGTTATTTTTGCATTCAAAGTTTTTTAAATCCAAGAGTGATAAAACAAAATGGAATGCCTTTTTACTTTTCTTAAAAAAGTTGCTTTTATTATCTGTAGAAGGCATTTTTGGATGCAATACCCAACCTCCCAACTATTTTCCTGAAATCTACATGTCCCATATCCAAACTCTTTGTGAGGAAGAGTCCCCGGAATCCATGTTTATACATGTGACTGCGCCATCTGTGCCGTAGTTGGTTACGGCAGGAGTAGAAACTTGATTCACTTTTAGCCAAATTCCCTCCAGTAAAATGGAAAATGAGATCAGCAGATATTTTGCACCAGGCCTCTGTAAGCGGTTAATACAGAGATGATAAAAATTCAGTAGCTGAGGAACTTGTGTGTAGAGAAACAAGGAAAGTTGAACTAGAGAAAGAACAATGTGGACGATGTAAAAGAGGAACTTTAATGAGATACATTGTCTCAAAGAATGATTCTCTGGGTTCTCTAGTTGCCTCACTTTCACCATGAATCCCCTGTGCGCTTGTTACTCTGAGCTTTCATAAAATAGTTCTGTGCCCTCAAAATAAAACTCCCCCTTTCTCCTTTGGCTTGTTCTAAGTACACTTCTATGTTATAAAGCCAAAATATCTCATCATCCCATAATTATCAGTTGCAAATCCTGGCCACAAAAGTATTTTAATTTCTCTAAACATTTTAATACCCTTTCAACAGCAAAATATTTATTTTTTTCTACATAAATTATCCAAGATACCAAATTGAGCTTTGTTCATAGGTGTGAATAACAGACTATATGTTCACACATCTGATGGTGATTTTCTGATGATGCTGCCTGCTCACACTTCCAAAACAGTCAATCAAATACTAAATTTATAATCAAACATTAATTGAGTAGAAAATGTTTTTTAAAAATGTTGGACTTTGTGCTGTGGAGAATGCAAAGACAAAATAATGGAATTCACACAAGAACACATCATTTTTCGATAACAGGCTGTCTCTGATATATGAAAAGTAGTGATCTAGTCAGTAAATTTTTTAAAAAAATGTTCACAGGGGGATGGGTTTCAGCATGCAAATGGCTGCATCTAATTTTCTGAAAGAGTCACATCATACAATAATTTAATCATCCTTCTGAGAATTCATTATACAGTATTTGGACTTGGAAGCAATTTCGAATGGTTTGAATGGACTTTTCAAAATTATTTCTCCTTATGTAGGGCAGAATAATTACTTTGTATGTCAGTCAGTATTTTTAGTATAAGTAACATAAATCAGCTCTGGCTGAATTAAGCAAAATTTATCAGAGAATATTGAGTAATACATATCATCATGAGAAAGGCTGAAAAACAAAGATTAGAGATGATACAGCAATGAATAATGCTCAAAACTGTGTGGGAGAACTGATCTAGCAAGGACACTGCCCCCTCCCCCAGGCACTACAAGCTATAGCTCCCACAGCCGAAAAAGGCCGCTGTTATACAAGGCTGTCATACAGTCAGCATTCCACTCAGGAACTCAGTTTTGCCATACCCACCACTGTTTGAGAGAGAATTCTGCAGCTCCTGCTTCTCTGCATCACTAGCACCCAATTCGTGGTCTGGCAGAGCATAGAATCCATAACTGTGCCCAACCTTCAAGAGAAGCCGGGAAAGAATGAATATGGCATTTTTAGCTTTGAAGGAAGAGGTAGGCTCTACTCCCTCAAAGATCCAAGGAGTAGAGAATGCCCTTAATATGGAAATGTGCTCACTATCCTGAGCAACCAAAAAGTGTGAGAACTGTCTTCTACACTAGGTATGCCAAGGACTAGCACAATTTATGTCAGTCCTTTTTTTCTTCTTGTTTTCTTTATAGTACTTTTTCTCCTTTCAAATTGCTTTCTCTTCAGTGATTTAGGGTGAGCGTAGTGGAAGGGAA